CTGTTTCAATCACTCCCCCCTGCCACATACACACCCCACCCTGCTCAGAGAATGGTTGCTTAGTAACTAATCACTTTCAATTCTGCTCCACAGGATCTAGTGCAGTGTTTCTCAACCTTGGCGACGTTAAGATGTGTGGACTTTAACTCCCAAAATTCCCCAGCCAGCCATGCTGGCTAGGGAATTCTGGGAGTTGAAGTCCACACATCTTAACGTCGCCAAGGTTGAGAAACACTGCACTAGATCCTGTGGAGCAGAATTGAAAGTGATTAGTTACTAAGCAACCATTCTCTGAGCAGGGTGGGGTGTGTATGTGGCAGGGGGGAGTGATTGAAACAGACTGGTAGAAGGAAACTGTCAAAGAAGCAACAGACAGCCATTCAGCATCCCTCATCAGTACTGTAATGAGGAGAAGCAGGGTTTCTGCACCTTATGATAAATATATATTTTAGAATACTGTGAAAGCAAAGTAGTGAAAGTTTTTCTTCTCCCTTAAATGAAATTGTGGAGTTCTGCTCTCCTCTCTTCTACCTTGTTGGGAGCCTGGAAAGAAGTTGGTGTCAAAGAGAGAAAGTATGTGCGGGGGGAGGTGGGGGAGGAGGGAGGGTTGGAGATAACCAGTGGAAGGAAGGGCAGATAGGTTGTTATGGAGGCTGGTTAGTAACTAGAGTAAGCAGGTGTACCCATGCTTCCCAGCACTACCGAAACACATTTATGATCACCCCCACAACAGGTGAATGGGTTCTGCATTCAAGGTAACGGGTAGTAAAGTGTAACAGATGTTATACACCTTAAGGCTGTTGTTGCTGGATGCTTTTGGAATAAGAGGGAAAATACTACTTTTAGCCGGGTACAGCTAACAAGGACTTAAGGGCTGGGGACAAGTTAAGGACACTGTTTCCCCAAAGAGGAAAACTGCTATTGTCAGGATATGATTCTGCTGTGATGAAATGCCAGGGGAACAGAACCTGTCCTACACAGAGAGCATCTGGAGAACATAAACTGGCACTAATAAGAGAGATTCCAGAAGAGGGCGCCATGCAGAAGACTCCTTTCAGCCTAGAGCCAGCCTTGTGCGCACTGTGGAAGCAACACTGACTTTTCCAACCCCCTTGAAATGCAGAAGAGTTATTCCAAGCAGTCGGGATAACTGCCATTTGCTCTGCAGGGGGAAACAGAAGAGAGTCTTGCAGATGTGGCCGGGTTTAACACAATGAAACAAACAAGCAGATGTCAATAGGGCACTGGTTCTTGGGTCTCCTGCCCTTGTAGAGGATTACTGTGAGTGAGATCCAAGACTAACCAACATAACCCTCCTCGCACTGGCTCACAGACAAGCAGGAAAAAGTGCTGGGAGGGAAGGCAGAAGGTGGCCTGTTAAATCTGTGCACCTCTTTTTCTGTTGTCCCTTTTCTCCATTCTTCTCCAGGAGAAATGGCCCCAGAAAAGAAGGAAGAGGCACACAGAAATCAGAACACAAAGAACCCTTTTATTTTCTGCATGGGAAATCTCCTTGTTCACATTTTAAACACACTGCTGCCCATAGACGTCAATGCAGAAACCCAAGATTTGTGTATAACCAGTAGAGGGCAAAAGGGTTCATTCTTTGAGGCCATTCTTAAAAAGAAAGTTCTAATTTGGTTCTCATTTTGTGCTAAACATTTTTTAAAAATTAGTCCTGCTAGTGTATCTTTCAAGGTAAATGCTGTTTCTAGATGAACATTTTAATGTTCAAAGTTCATGCAGTTTGGGGGAATATCCAGATGATATCAGTATCCTTTAGTGCTCAAATCATCATTTTGTTTCTTTTCACTTGCTTTTGTTTGAATGGGAACAACTCAGATAGGCGAAAAATGACATTTCTCATGGTATGGATGTTCCATCGTTTTTCTCACCCGTAAGAGAGTTTGAAGGTACTCTGCAATCAGTGGTGAAGATCTCCCAGTTTCTTTTCTTAAAACATCCAAATTATTGTGAGCAAAGGAGATTCCCATTCTCAGGCGTATGCCTTTTGAAATATATTTTTTCATCACCTTGCTCACCTTAGTCACTTCCCAATTGGATTACTGCAATGCGCTTTACACAGGGCTATCCTTGAAGACCATCTGGAAGCCACAACTGGTCCATAATGCAGTGGTCCACATAGTTCTGGATCCCTGCAGCTCACCCATGTTATGCTATTGTTGCGTGGGCTGCACTGGCTCCCAGTTGCTTTCCAGGTGCAATTTGAGGTGCTGGTTATCCCCTTTAAAGCTCTATGTGGCCCAGGGCCAGGTCATCTGCAGGACCACCTCTCCCTGAGAGTAGCTGCCTGTCCCACTAGGTCAGATAGGGTGGGCATGCTCCAGGTCCCTTCCCTTAAATTCTGTCACTTGATGGGACCTCAGAGATGTTCCTGCTCTATTGCTGCCCCAGACTTTGGAATAGCCTCCCACCTGAGATTCAAGGAATCCCTATGAGAAGACCTGGCTCTTCCCCCAACATTAGGCTAGGATGGGGTTGAGTCAGGGGGTCACTAGTATGGCCAGTCTGGTGTCTAGTGGGAAAAGGGTTTGTTCTGGTTTTATTTTGCTGTTCTTATTGGTTGTTATAAACCACCTAGGATCGCTACATGAGATAGGCAGCCATATAAGTTCTTTAAATAAATAAATAAAATTTATTTATCGGCTGCAGTTTTAAAACTTACTCTATATCCTGCCACTAGTTCTCTGTTCACTTGTCAAGTTCAGGATTTAAAGCTACTCTTCTTTCCCTGAACAGAACTGGGCAATCCATTTCAAGATTTCTATATCAAAGGAAAGATACAGGTTTGTACCCAACTCGCATCTTCAAAAATCTGCTTTAGAGGAGCTGCAGGGGTAGGAGAAGAACTGAAAACATTCTGTGAGTGTAGTTGCGTTAATGTTTGTGCCATTTGTAATCAGCAATATATAGGTATTTTGTTGTAAAATAGATCCGGGGAAAAAAGTCAGCAACTAAAAATAAAGATATACATGCTTGCAAGACACCAGCATTTTCTGTTTCTGGGAGGCGTGTAAAAACATTTAAAAAAAGAAGCCTAGGTAGCTATGTAAAATAGCTGTGCATATCTTCATAGCTACCGTTTATTTTGAAAGGAATGCCCAGGATAAGGAAGAAAAGCTGAAGCTGACAGGACCGAGTAGACAGGAATCCATTTTGTCCCATCATGATCTACCCCCTGTGGCAGTGTTTCTCAACCTTGGCAACTTTAAGCAGTATGGACTTCAAATCCCAGAATTCCCCAGCCTGTATGGAGTTGAAGTCCATACAGCTTAAAATTTCCAAGGTTGAGAAACACTGCACTATGGTGTTCAGGATACTACATATTTGTTTGAAATGAATCAGAGTGGCAACAAAGTCTGCACATTGTATTTTGCAAGCCACAACAGGAACAACAATGCCGTGGCATGATGCAAAAGGAGACTTGCTTCTGGACCTATCATTATCCTCAAAGTGACTGCGGCAGGAAAGAGTGACTTACGACCCTGCTGTTCATCTTACAATCCATAGGTCAGATTCTGAAATGCTGTCCAGGATTGTTCAGAAGTCCTCCTTGTTGCAATTCTAATGTGGAGATTGCTGGCAGCTACATCACATGAAGGTTTTCCAGCCATCTAGTTCAGGATGCAAGCAAGTTCCTTCTGCTCTGACCCTAAACCTGGAAAATGCTACTCAAGGAAGACTTGGATTCACATATTGCACTAAGCCATGATTTTTAAAACCACACTTTGACAGCTAAAACCTTTTCCTCTCTAGTAACCCCTAGAGTCATCCAACTATTATGCTGATACAACGATAATGAGGACAAGCTAAAGTGGGGGACTTTAGAAGATATTATAAGTCACGACTGGGAAATGGCCTAACTCATAGTGACCGCATTTACACATCCCACTAAGCCCAAACCAAACTGACACATTCTGGTTCATCAATAAGGTATGAAGAAAACCTAACAATGAGTTATGCCTGCTGGAAATCAGAGGTTTTGTATTCTCTTCTGTACCTCTTTGAGCAAGAAAGAAGAGGCAGCAAACGCGAAGGACCATCCATAGCGATACTGAAAATACTGCTCTGAGCCACTCGGACGGTTCATCACTTCATCATTGATGCTGGAGATGTACAGGACCAAGCCCACCACTAGGGACAGCCCTGCAGAAGAGCAGAGAAGGCAAAGGAGGAGATTGGGAGAAGAAACAAAAGGAAAAAGGGGTGTCATCTCACGTCCACCAGCTTCCATGTAGGCCTAAGGGTGGCGGTTTGTAGAGGTTTCATTTGGAGTTGAATTGTGTTCCAATCTCTGCAACTGTTCTTTAGCCAATGAAGGATCTTTCATGTTAAGCTTAGTGGGGAGAGGCCATTCCTACTGCACAGAGAATGCTCCCTCCCCACTCCCACTGGGGATCCATTGTTATGTTCCTCTCAATGAGGGAGAAGGTTTGCTTGAATCCCAATGGTCCTCCCAAACCGTAGGTTGGATGCTGTCCTCAAAAACTGGCCAATGAGCCACTGAAAATTAGGGGGGCTTCCCGTCTCCTGCATAGCCCCAAGCTCAGTTTCATTTCTTGGCCAAGACAGCATGTAGCACAGAAACACAGGCATATACAATGAGTGGTAAAATGCAGCTCGCTTGTGGTGCAGGCCAGTGTACCACTGTGCAGATCTGTGGACCACCTTTCTACCACTTTCTCTTCAATGCCTGCACAGCACTGTAGGGCCAATGTTAAAATTACTCCTGGCAACGTCTTGCAGTGACTGATCTTCAGCATCTCTTGGTACTCCTGCATCGGAGAAGTGCCATTTGGACTCATGGCTCCTTTCCTGACATTTTTCCAGGTGCTACTCTTTAGGTCCCATTGTCTTTGAGTCCATACTCAGGGCTCCCAAATAACTGTATAGGCCAGTGTTCCTCAATCTTGGGAACTTTAAGATGTGTGGACTTCAACTCCCAGAATTCCCCAGCCAGCATACACACACATCTTAAAGATCCACACATCTTAAAGTTCCCAAGGTTGAGGAACACTGGTATAGGCAATACTGCTTATTTTGTTCCCCCTGCTCCTTCATTTGCTTCTAGCATAAATGTTGCCTAGACTTATGATAGCCATCTCCTTTTCTTTCTCCCTTTCTTCCTCCTGGGGATTGCAATTACTGCAAAATAGTCTGTATAAGGAATCAATATGACCAGGGACTGGAAAAAATGAGTAGGGGAGATCCTGCACCAGCCTAAATTGGCCAACAGGTGCTGGGCTGATCCCAGCGATCCAGGCTCTAGGCACAGTCATCCAGGAAATTCTACTTGGGATGGTGGGAAAGTCCTGTTCTTTCAATGGGGGGCCTCCCCTCTGTATCCTCCAGAGACCTAGATCAGCTTGAACAGCAATTGGTCTATAAGTGGCAGAGGGGAGTTGAACACTCACCCCCTACCCCTGTGCCTGTCAGTTATTGTTCAGGCTGCTTGGGAACACAGGTTTAGCGCTCTTCCAGAGAAACAGTGAACTCATATTCAGCAGCAGCCAGAACCAAGAACTGACACTTGGGAGGGTTTGGCTGGGCCGTGAAGCAGCACAGTCAGCAAGCAAGAGATGGCTTGCGCACTCTTCCCCTGCACGGATCAGCTGTCATTCAGGCTGTCAGCAGTGCAGGTTTATCCAGGTCTTCGAGGCAGGATACCGGGTGGGTAAAAACCTCTTCATCTGCCATCTCTACCAACCCAGGCCACTACCCCAGTGGCCCATGGATCAACATCTTCTCCAACCCAGCAATGCCGTAACTCAGATTTATATCTACAAAACCAGCAGAGATTGAAATAGGAGGAACATTGGATTGTTGTATGATAACAATGAAAAAAAGGACAAATTTCTTCCTACCAAACATCCAACATACATCAAACTTAAATGCTAAGAGCTTAGTCCTAAAATCTTGTATTTCTACAAATACAGGTAGTCTTTGCTTAACAACCACTACTGTCGCTAAGCAATGTAGTTGTTAAGCAAGACATCATGTGACCATGACGGGATTATGACATCATTTCCACTGTAGTCGTTAAGTGAATCACCACAGTTGTTAGGCAAGACATCATGTGACTTCAACTTGTGATTTTACTGCTGGTTTCTCCATTGATTCTGCTTGTCAGAATCTGGCTGTGAAGCACACAAATGGCGATCACATGATTGCAAGACACTGTGATGGTTGTAAACACCCACTGGTTGCGAAGCACCTGAATCTCGATCACATGACTGTGGGGACACTGTGACCGTCGTAAGTGCAAGGACCGGTTGTAAAGTTATTTTCCAGTGCTGTCATAACTTCAAAAGTCACTAAACAGGGCAGTCATTAAGTGAGGACCACTGGCAGAAGCTTTTGAACTTCTAGAGTCCTGAGTTAATGTGACACAGAGGATGATTTTCACCTATTCTCTACCCTGACTTATAGGCCCCTTCCTATGGGGCCTCTGAAGCTTATTTTAAGGGGGGATGGGAAGGGTACAGAGAGGCGATATCAGTGGAAAGCATCTCCTGATCTGTCCCATTAGTGGAAAGGCAAATCTGGATGCCACCTACAGACACACGTTCATCCATTTCCCGAATTTGCATGCTATCTTTCTGTTCAAACTGAACATTCAGGGTAGCTTATGTGACCCTTGGGCAGAATTTAAAATTTCTGTCCTCCTTCTTACCTCCTCATTTTTTATTTAAAAAAATAAGTTATTGACCTCTGTATTTTTATCTGTCTTGGATCTGACAGCACATACTAATCACAATCAGTTTGTTCGGCTTTGGGCTGTTGTACTCGGCTGGAGGAAGCCTCCTGGGTGTCAACCGTTCTGAACCAAAGCCGTGGTCCCGCTAGATCTTCCCCTCTTCATGCTGCAAAATCCCACCAGCCACCGTCCACCCAGAACCGTCCCCACTGTTCCAGCCAGCCCAGAGCTTGCAGATCAATCCCCTTGGCAGAACAGCCTCTGCTTTCGAACCCTTACCAGAGAGGATGAAGAAGATGCCTGAAACAAAAGCCAGGATGGTTCTCTGCGGGCGGATATGTCCAATATTGCTAATGACAAAGGCTGTGAAGACCAGAAAAAGGCTGACCATGGGGAAAGGGGTGGCTGTGCGAATGGTCTCTGCCGGGAGAAAGGGAGCAAGAGAAAAAAGAAGGGGGGAAAAAGTTAAATTTGAGTCCGTCACCAGACCAGGGCTATTTCTCATTAAGGCTTAGATCAGGGACATGCAAAGGGATTCTACAAATGAGACAGCCTGAGAGCATACACAGAGATCTTTTCCCTCATTATCAAATAACTTGGAGCAGTTGGCATCTGGACTTTTTGGCCCACCCCTGTGAAGAGCTTTAGCAACCTGCCTCCTTCTTTAAACCCGACACCTCTTCTTTCTGAAATGAGCCCACACTTCAATAGGTGGGGTGCAGAATTTTGTCAGGTTCAACATTAACGCTTTTTATCCCCTTACAACTTGAATCTGTTCTCTCTGTAAGGAAAGGAACACCCCAAGTGAATCATGAGAACTCCCTGTCGAGTTCTGCCACAGCGAAGTAACTGAGCCAAAATGTTTTTCAACTTAACCCTGAATCAACTTGCTCTCCCCTCAGGGTCAGTAAAATGCTTATTCTGCCCATTCTGGAAAAACTGCAATGTTTCTCAGTTGCTTCAGAAGCGGACACTGATGACTAGAACTAAGAAGGGTGTGATGGTGAAAAAGGCTAGAAAGATTGATAGCAGAACTCAGGATATTATGGAGATTTGAAGTCCAATCCTAACTCAAATATTAAATGAAGGTGTAAGTAACATCTTACAGGACAAGATCATAGTATTAAATGTCGCTCTTCACAGTAGAATGAGCCAAACTGTATTGCATACTGAAGCACCGCCATTAGCACAATTTCAAATACAACATGCCTAGCTTACGTGTTCCAATAAAATTCCATTTTCCAATAGAAAATGGCAACCCTTTGCATGTTGTGTCATCTGCACCACCGAAACATTGCACTGATATATAGATTCCCATCCATTCAGTTTGCTGTTTGGAGATAGTATACTATAATGTCTTTATTTTCTTCTTTTTTAAAATCTGTCTGACTGTGCCCAAAATAGCTCACACAAGTAAAGATACTGATTTTGCAGCATACAAAGGAATGAAACCAAGACTTCAATACAGATTTATATATCTATATCTATCATCTTCTATCTATCTATCTATCTATCTATCTATCTATCTATCTATCATCGATCATCGATCATCGATCATCGATCATCGATCATCTACATACATACACAGACACACACACACACGTGTATGTGTGTTTTAAGTCTTATTGAGGTCTTGGTTACTTTCATTAGCAAAGCATAAGCCAGGGGAAGCCAGCACTAATATAATAACTTTGCAGTGACGCAGAAGAGAGCCAGTTTTGTGTAGGGGTTAAGGCACCGGGCTAGAAACTGGGAGACTGTGAGTTCTACTCCCGCCTTAGGCATGAAGCCAGCTGGGTGATCTTGGGCCAGTCCCTCTCTCTCAGCCCTAGGAAGGAGGCAAGGGCAAACCACTTCCAAAAAACCTTGTCAAGAAAACTGCAGGGACTAGTCCAGGCAGCTGCCAGGAGTCAACACTGACTCGAAGCCACCAAAAACAAAAAAGTGACATGGAGATGTGCCATATTGTAAAACAGCATAAGCATCTGATTATCTGCCTTTCTACTAACTCTGGAACCATTTTTGTATATGTTTTCCTGTTTGAATGTAATCATAAGTGGATCCCACTCCATTCAATCTAACAACACTGCATCACCCAGATTGACTTCATTACTCTGCCTGAAACATCCTTTTTCAAAACATGACGTTTCCCAGGACATGAAATTGGAGTAAATGCTGTATTTCTAAGATTCCCTTCAAGCTATCTGTTGATTACCATTTCCAAAAAGGTGAGAATTCACAACTCTCAGCTGTTGCTCAGTTTTGCCTTGCTGGAAGCTGGAGGTTTCATTAGCTCCTTTATAATCAAATAGAGTGACTTGGATCCTGCATCTCTGAGCAGTTGCATAAAAGGCCTTTCAGAAAGTGCAGCTTTTCTGACCTCTGCAGGGCAAATTCTCTCTACCCATGTTCGTGCTTGAATTCATAATGCAAGAGCTCCCTCAAGCTTTGTATTCAGTGACCTTCCTCGCCAAGGTACCTGGATTGCCGGTTTCCAAAAGCTTTGGGGCAAGGTCAAGTTCATTAAAGTGGATGAAAAAGCACCCCAAATTCCCAAGGCTTCAGACTAGCCTGGGAAGCCAAAGGAACATGATGAATCACTTCTATACTATTGCCAAGAGAATGACATGGATGCGTCCTGGTGTGTAGTCAGCAAGAGCTGAATGTGACTGGACACAACCTTTGCTACTACTTCTAGACATCTGGGACTAACAGGAATTTTAGGGAGCTGATTATAGCAACCTTCCCAAATCTATGCCCTGGACAAAACATTGAACAATAATTCCCATCCCAGGAAGATTGGCTAGAGAGTTAGATGAGGTGATAGGCTGCTGAGACGGGGGCAAAATATATATCATAGTGTAGAGGAGGAGCAGTGTTACCTTTTTAATGCTGTCCCAAGTTTTGTGTAAGGGAGGAGGAGGAGGAGGGAGAGGGAGAGGGAGAGGGAGAGGGAGAAGGAGAAGGAGAAGGAGAAGGAGAAGAAGGAGAAGGAGAAGGAAGGAGAAGGAGAAGAAGAGGAGGAGGAGGAGGAGGAGGAGGAGGATTTCCCAGTGTAGCTCTGGGCATTGCTATTTTTGTGTTTGTTGAGAATTAATGTGATCATGCCTACAATGTGGTCAGGTTCCTTGGCCATCTTATAAACTGACCTTCCCTATTCCAAGTTCTGTGGGATTTAGACAGGGTTAGCCCACTTGCATTAATGATAGGGGCAAGGTGTCCCATCACCGAAAGTAAAGTATACAATTCTGAATGTTCCTCCTTGCAAGAATTCCCTTTACATAATAAACTATATACATAAGGAAAAAAGTTTCTAGTCCTTTCCTGCTGTCCTTATTTTCTCGTCTGCCCCAGCCCTCCAGTGGAATGGTGATCCCTCACTGTGACCGTAGTCCTCGCTCTTCTGTCCCAGCAAATGATAGCACGTGGCTTATCTTGCTTAGGGTGGGGCTTGGTTAGTACTTGGATGGGAGCCCCCACAGGGAATATTAAGGGTCTGGGGTAGATTGAGAATCCAAACAGAATCCCAGAAGATGACAATGGCCAACCATTTCGGCACGGCTGCCAAGAAAAGATCTGAAGTCACGCCACCTGCCCACCGGTTCCACCTCGCCAGAGGCAACAGAGCAGGGGGCCTGCTGATCAAATGGGCACTAAGCTGGGGAAAATTGATCTAAGTCTATAGGAGACCTGTCATGGGAGGCCATCAACCACCCATTTCCTATCTCTTCTCCATTTCGTTAGTCATTGCTTGTGCGGGCAGCGGATCCTGGGTACGGTTGGGTGAAAGAAAAGAATAAGAATAAAGCGGGAGGGGGGGTGTTGATAGCGGGCCTGTAACCCCTCCTTTCCAACAAAGTATGCTCAGCCCTTTTCACATGTTCAGGATTTCTCCTCCCTCATCCTGATACAAACATCCTGCGTGCTTGTGCTTCCGGTTTACAGTCCACTATCCACATGCATTTTCCTCCAGATTGTCATAGCTGGGTCCCCCCCCTCCAGTATTGAATGTGCAAGGGTTTGCCACTGATAAAATGACATTTCCGATGACTATCACATTTGTCCTTGCTGGAATTTCTGCTTGGGACAGCGCTAGTAATGAACTGCATAATTCCTCTTACTCTCTGCATGCCAGGATTGCACCATTTTGTGACCTGTGCTGACGGCTGGAAACACAAAATATTTTTTCCCAAGTTGAAATATAAGAGTGGAGTAGTTCCTTGTTGTGTCCAGCAGAGGGGGCCGTGATATATTCCTATTTCTCTCTCACGCACACCCACACCCACATATGCTTAGAGTTTAGGGCTACTGCATCTGGGCTGCAAAAAGCGAGAAAATTATTAGATGGCAGCAGAGAGACACAGTGGACTCTGAACCCATTATTGCCATCTAGTGACTATCTGGATTTGTGCAGACCAGATGTGGTAGCCCCCCTTGCTCCTAACTGCTGCACAACCACGTGCCATGGTGATCTTTTCTTTCTGCCAAGTTCCCCCAATGTTGCCTTGAGCTCAGTCTCTGCCCATACAGCGACCTGAGATGTTCTGGTTTTGAAGGAGTGTGTGTTTTTCCTCTTATGCCAGTTGCAATCTAAGACACCTTCAAAATGTGTAAAATCTGATGTGCATTTCTTTGGCATGGTCAGATGATCCACCAGGCTGTCCCTAAGTCCTTCTGCCACCATTCTTTCTTTTCTCCTTGGGATGGAAAGAGTTGCTGGGCACCATGGCCTATAGCCCTCCAAAAGGGGAACTACCAATTTCACCCTGCAGATTCCCCACCCACCAATCACCTGTCCGGAGTGTTTACTGGGGCATCAAGTTTACCATTCTTTCAGAAGAGCACTAAATCCATTGGCAAAGCAAGCCCACCAAACAGCTGATCTCCACTATATCTAGGTGTACCATATCTGGGCTGCAGACCTCTGAATGATTGCTGGATAGCAGCCAAGAGATAGAGGAATCCCCAAGCCTTGGCTGTCATCTATACAAGTAGTCCTCACTTAGCGACCATTCGTTTAGCAATTGTTCAAAGTTATAACAGTGCTAAAAAAGTGACTTACAACTGGTCCTTGCACTTACGACTGTTGCAGCATCCCTGAGGTCATGTGATCATGGTTTCGGGCACTTGGCAACTGTCGTGCATTTATGATGGTCGCAGCATCCCATGGTCACATGACCACCATTTGCGACCTTCCCAGCTGCTTCCAACAAGCAAAGTCAATGGGGGAAGCTGGCAGGAGATTGCAAGTCGCGGTCACGTGATATCTCACTTAACGATTATGGGTGATTCACTTAACAACCCCAACCAGGACTGCTGTCGCTAAGCAGGGTGATCATGTGATGTTTTGCTTAATGACCACTTTGCTTAGCGACGGAGTTGCCGGTCCCAATTAGGTTCGTTAAGTGAGGACTACCTGT